TGTCCGGTCTATGGAGAGAACAGCGTCACTGGTTAAGATCCTTTGCATAAGGGTGACAGAGTGACAGCTGACAGGACAAAGGGAATTATTTCACAGCACACATAAGGGACTCCAGGGGCACTGGCTTCGGGAGTGGTTGGATCCAGGAGCCCCAGTGATAGACCCCGCTCGATTCCACCTTGAGATGACTTCGTTTCCAGGCAGATCTGCGTGAGGAGGACCAGAGGCGCACCCCCCATGCTGGTCACCTTACTCTGAACATGTTTTCATGAAGGCTGACGCCTGGCATGGCAGCGGCCTCTTTGTAATGGTAAAGCACCATGCCCGGGACAGAGAGCCTCTACGCAAAGGAAGGCAAAACAAAATGGTGGGAGCAACACCCTCCTAAACTCCCCAAACTCCTACACGGATTAGCTAAGAATTTTAAAAGTTCCTTACTTATTCTGCTATCTGTTTGTACGTGTAGTATTTTTGGTGCATGTTCACATATGCTGACATGTATGTGCACGTGGATGTCAAAGATTGGCGCACTCCACACAGGGTCAAACAGCACCTCTCAGTGAACTTGGAGCTCACTGATTCTGCTAGGCCAGATGGTCAGTGAGCTCCAGGAACCCCCGTCTCCGCTTCCCTGGCACTGGAATTACAGGTATGTGCTGACACCACTGGCTCTTTTATGTGCGTCCTGGGGATCTGAACTCAGGTCCTTGTGCTTGTGCACAAGGACTTTACCATCTCCTCGCCCACCAGCTAAGCATTCTGGTTACTTAGACTGAGCTGGACACACAAGCCCTTCCCTTAGCAACCCCCAGTCGCCGTAGCAACCTGCAGTTGACCAGACAGAGCCATTGGAGGTAAAGGGCTTTGAAAAGGTCCTCATGGGGGCTGGAAGGATGGCTCAGCAGTTAGGAGCCCTGACGGCTCCTCTGGAGGACCTGAGTTCTTATACGGTGGCTCACAGCTGTCTATAACCCCAACTCAGGGGATTTGATATTCTTCTGCTGACATGTAGTGGTGCACAGACAGATGTGCAGGAAAAGCACCCATACACTTACAAGTAAATTAAATTAAATTTTTCTTAGGGCTGGAGAGATTGCTCAGTGGTTAGAGCACTGACTGCTCTTCGGAGGACCTGATTTCAATTCCCAGCAACTACATGGTGACTCAAAACCATCTATAGTAGGATCTGATGCTCTCTTCTGGTGTGCAGGCATACGTGCAGGCAGAACATTGTATACATAATAAAAAATTTTTCATAGACACCCAACATTGGCCTCTATCCTCAACATACATACCCACATATGCAAAACATACACAAAAAGGAGAGTTTTTAAAAATCCCCTCATAACCCAACAAAGCAGATGCCATCTCTGTGGGTACCCATTCTAGAGATGGGTTTGCTGCAGTCCAGAGAGGCTAGGCCACCTGTCCCAAATCATTCTGTACCAGCCATTCTGCTCCAGAGCCCTCGGCCATATTGTCACCCTGAGGAACTTTTCGGAACTCCTTGTTGAGTAAACACGCAGACACAGTCACAGGGTTACATAGAGCTTCATGGTACCCAAACCTCTGCCTGCACTTTCCGCTTCTCTCCTAAGCTCCCAGCTACTCTGTAGGTGTGGCACGGTGACCCAGTCACACAGGGCTTTTGGCAACGGTCATGGACTTGCAGAAGAATCTCTGCAGCGGCCTGTGGCTGGTGAGTTGCCCACCACCTGGTCCGGGGCTCATCACATTTGGTCTGGACAATCGCGGGAACCTTCTTCTGGGTCTCCTGGTACCACCTTGCATTGCTCTCCCTGGTGCCCTCTTTGATGCAGGGGTCCCTTGGAAACAGGTCTGAGTGCCTTGGATCCCCCTGTGAAAAACTGCTTCCTAACATGAGGAAACTCAGATTCCTTCCTTCTTGAAAATAAAAGGCCCTGAATCCAGATGTTCTCGAACATTCCATACTCAGGGCCTGAGTTCCTGGGACTCCCCTGATTGACTTCCTTCCTCAGTATGCACAAGGTTGATGTCTACCTCTGATACTCAGTTTGCTTGTAACTACCTCCCCGGGAAACCTCCCTGGACCACCTCATCCATCACTGCCGATGCCTCCATCAGTCATGCACCTCACTCCCTCCTGGTTGCTTTTCATTACTGTACTTTTTACAGCTGACTGCTCTGACAGGTTGGCTTGGATGTTTATTAACTATATAGCTATTGGGTGGCATCTGTTTTCCTGCCCTGTATCTTCAGTGTGTCACAAAAGAGCTGCTCGCTGTTGCCTGAGAGCAGTTCTAGGTTGGGAAACACCTTTGCCTTCCGAGAGACTTAAGTGGGGATTCTCAGGCTTAGCACTATTGATTTGCAGGGCAGCAGATACCACATATTATCAAGGTGCAGAACATCTTGCATCATGTGTTTGCACGGCATGATGTTTAGCGACATCCCCTTGCCTTCACCAGCTAGACACCAGGAAGACATTCCCTCCCCCAGAGTTGTGATAACCAAACCCCTGTGCGGATGTTGTCACATGTCCTCTGGGATAAACAATGAAACATCTGCCTCCTTTAGGGGGAGAAGCGCTTTCCTGGGCTTTCAAGCCAGGTTTCTTCCTAGAGACGGTGGTTTTGAAGAGTCCCCCAGGCAGATAGGATCTCTGGATAGGAGCTGATGGCAGGCTGGTGCTAGGGAATATGGAATGACAGCCTGGATTACATGGCTGCCACCCCAGGACTCACTAAAAGAGGAGAGCAGATAAACTCACCCTAAAACAAGAGCAGAGAGAGAGGCCTCACGAACTCAGCATGAAGAACCCCATGCTACTCAGGCCAGGGTCATGTAAGCAGGGGGACACAGAGACCAGACAGGCAGGCAGTGAGCCTGAGGGGCTGCAGATGGCAAAGGGAAACTCTCAGACAAGCAGGGGAAAGGTTGCCCCAAGGTTGGTTTCCAGAAAATCACACACAACCAGGCCTGGTAGCTCAGGTCTGTCATCCCAGCTAATCAGGAGTCTGGTTGTCAGGTTTAGGAGCAAGCATTGCTGAGCCACCTCACAGGCACCTCAAATAATGTTCTGGAAACAAAAGATACCACAAGCAAAAAACTAACGTGCAGGTGACAGAATAAAAGATGTTTACAACATCCAAAATCAATAAGGGGCTTAGCAACCAGACATCCAGATCATATAAAGGAATTCTGTAATCCAACAACTATAATAACAAGCATAACAATAACCACTAAACAGGCACAACCATAACAACAACCACCAACTATAATAACCACAACCATAACTACAGCCACATGAACTATCACCAATCATAATAACAACTACAAACATAGTAACAACTGCCAACTATAACAACCGCAATCATTACAACCACGTGAACAATCACCAGTCATAATAACAAGCAGAAACATAACAGCAACCATGGTAACAACCACAGTCATAGTAACAAGCAATAATCACCAACTATAATAACAACTATAACTATAACAGCAACCATGGCAACAACCAACAACTACAATTACAACAACAGCAATCAAACAACCTCTAAAACATAACAGCTGCAACCACAGCTGAAACAATAGCCATCACCAACACAACCATGACAGTCACTTCCACTACAATAACTACAAACAACTACAATCATAACAACCACAGCAACCACCAGAAAACCATAACAACAACCATGAAGCTGAGAATCTGGTAGTTTCCTCAGTATGCACAAGGAACTTCAATGCGCATGAAGCACCTAAGATTCATCAATTGTCAATGAAAGGGACATTTCAGTGCACTGAGCTGTCTCCTGGGACACACTGGGCGTTCAACGCTCCACGTTCTGGATGAAAGCTAATGGAGACCGAGGGACTCCCAGCACTTTAGAGGAGATGCCACCACAGGCAGTGGAGTCTGGGTGCACTTAGTCAAGAGTGTACACGTTCCAAAGCCTCAGGAACAAAGTCAAGGCATACGGGCTGGAGACAAGGCTCAGCTGATAGAGCACTGGCCTAGAATGCACTGAGCTCTGGGCTCATCTCTAGTGCTGTGTAAATCAGGTGTGGCGGTGCATGCCTGTAAGCTCAGCACTTGGGGGGATCAGAAATCCAAACTCATCTTGGCTGTGTAACCGAGTTCAAGGCCAACCTGGTCTGTGAGTAGGTATGATTCCATGGAGTATAGGACCACAAGTGACTTTGAGGGAGTCGACAGTGAAGAAGGGACACACATTGTGAGGATCGGTGGACTGGGTAACCCTCATCAACATGCGCAGATCTCCGGAAGATAACAAACAACATCAGAGTCACAGCATGGAGCATATGGGTTAGCTGAAGCAAGCATGATGGTGCAGGCAGGTAGATCTGTAATCCCATACCACTCAGGAGGATAAGAAAGAGCAACGCGAGTTCAAATCCAGACTGGGCTACATACTGGGGGGGGGAGAGGCAAAAAAAAAAAAACCAAATAAGAACAAAAGAGTATGAGTTGAAGCATACACACAAAACACCATTTTTTCAGGATCACACAGTAAACAACAACATACGCTCCACTAAACAGGTAACAAGCGCTGCCTATGAGGTGGGGAGCGGCCTCAGGGGAAGTGGGAGGATAAGGGATGAAGAAATGGGGGGGGGGACTGGGGTGATGGCTGTCGGTAAAGTGCTTGCCTCACGAGTACCAGGACCTGAGCTCAGTCTCCAGAAGCCATGCAAACAAATAAACAAACAGGCCTTGAAGTGTATGTTTACAATCCCAAGGCTGGGGCAGCAGAGACAGGCAGATAGCCAGGGCTCATGGGCCAGACAGCCTAGCATATTTGGTGAGTTCCTGGCCAATGAGAGAAGCCACCTCTAAATAAATAAATAAAATAAAAAGGATGGATGTCACTTACGGAAGATACCCAAGGTTCACCTCTGGCTTCCCATATGCACATACACTCACACATGTGTACACACACACACATGCGCACATGCACCTGTGTTATTCTAAAGAAACAGAACCAATAGGACACACATTTTATATATCAAAATAGAAAGCATTTTATATGTCAAGTATGTTAAAGAATATATTTAATCAGCTTACTCTGAAATAGTCCCAACACCATGAAGCTGAGAATCTGGTAGTTTCTTGGTCCTTGGGGTACCTCAAGCAGTCCCAAGCCGGCACTGAAAATGCAAATGTTCCCGGAGACTTGAAGGTCCTTAGTCTGTGATAGAAGCCTGAAGTCGCTGGTCTGATACCAGTGAGGAATGATCAGCAGCAGCAGCGGCAGCAATCAACTCTGCAGCAAGAGGCCAGGCCAAGCCAACAAAAGGTGAGTGGTCTTCCTTCTTCCACGCCCTTTAATCTGGGCTCTTACCAGTAGGTGCTGCCCACATATGGGTAGGTACCCCCACATCAATTAAGAAAATTAAGACAAGTGAGGCTCCCTGCTCAGGTGATTTTAATTTGTAACACACACACACACAGCACAATAAGGAAGGAAAGCAAGTCTTGTATTTTCTGTGCTGATTTTGTTGTGGCTAGGGCGGCTTGTGGCTAACCCTCATTTGCCCTTGCCCTCTAACCTGGACACACTCCACCTGGAACTCCCTTCTTACCGTGGAGTTCGTCTTCCACCTCTGAGAGGCCTTCCCTGACCTCCCCACCCCCACCAAAAAGGTCTCAGGATAGCCCGCCCCTCCCCATCACACTCATGATTTCCGGTTTTCACTCATGATTAGCTGAAACCCTCTCATTAAAAAAAATGTGTTTAGTTGCTTGTCTTGCTTCAACGATGGGCAAGCTCAGAAGAGGGAGAGACTGAACCAGATCTATCAGGTCAGAGCAAGGAAAAACCCTGGGAAGGCTTTACTCCAGTGACAACCACATTCAATTCAGGAAATGGTACATTCATTCTGACAGCCGTGGCTTCCATCGTGACCTGTGGGAGGCACAGGACGGATGGGGGAGCTCAGAGCAGAGGTCACAGGGAGAGAAGGCAGTGGCAGCTTGGGCTGCGTCACTGTGATGGAACTGAGAGTAGATAGGATTTTACAAACAGTTCTGCGTGATGCAATGGGAACGAAGCCCAGAGTGGAGCGAAAACCAAGTCTCATTAAGTTTTCCCCCTCCGGGGCAAGGTTCTCCTCTGCATCTCCGCCACCTTAATACCACGCAACAGATATGTGAGAAAACAAACGAGCAGAGACCAGGCAGGGCCCAAGTGTGGCCCACTGGAGGAAAGCCTGGCCCCTTCTGCATGCAAACCTTCCCACCCCACAGTCACTCCGAGATGGTCTGATACAGTCTACCCGCCCCACTGCACAGAGTGAGCAGGGGCAGTGGATCCCGTGGTTGAGCCTGACACTTAGCTCTCCAGAAGCAGCTGTCCAAGCTAGCGTGAATGGCTGAGCGGCTGATCAGGCCATGCAAGCCCCGAGTCTTCACTGCCCCTCACCTGGCCTCAGCAGCAGCCACCCACCTGCCCACTCGTTCTGCAGGCTTGCTTGTTGATAGGTGTACTGTCCTTCCTCTAGAACCTAGAATTTGATCCTAGAATCTGGAATGGAGTCGAAGCAAGAGCTATTTAAAATCGCCACCTGCCTTCTCCAGCTCTCCCATCCTCCCAGCATCTAGCCTGACTGACATAGTCCCCTACTTCTGTTTACAGTCGCTCTCCTGGCAGTCCCGCGACCCAGACAGAGGCTTGTAGTCTTCGCAGCTGTATCTACGTGCAGAGCCTGCATGCAGTAGGCGCTCAGCCTCGTGGTGGCGGAGACGCAGACAGCCCTCCCGGGTGGGCCCCGCAGCCTGGACCAGGGCCGGGCCGGGCACGGAGGGGTTAAGCCGCGCGCGCTTCCGACCCGCAGGTGGCGCCGTCCCGCCTCGGTGCCACTCGCCGCGCTCCGAAGTGCGGGACAGAATCGCGGCGAGCGCGGAGCCGAAGCTCAGCCCGACTTGTTGATCTCGCGCAGGCAGCCGCGGCCGCCGCCAAGCCGAGCCGGAGCCGGAGGTGGAGGCGGAGACGCCGCGGATCGGCCGGGCCGCGCAGTCCCCGCGCTCCGCAGAGCGCCCCGCCCGCGCCCCGCAGCCCCGGTGCCGCCCGCCCGCCCGCCCGGCCGGGGTAGGCCCAGCCCGGCCCCGGGACCGCCGCTGTCGCGGGCGGGGGCGCGGGCGGCCGGCGAGATGCGCGCGGCGCGGCCCAGGGAGGCGGCCGCCCTGGGGGTGAGTGTGGCGGGGGCGGCGCGGGCCCACCCCGGGGCGGGGGGGCGGGGCGTGCGCCCGGCGTGCTGTGGGCCCCGGGAACCCCCCGAAATCACCGGTGCGTGGCGGGAGGAGGGCATGCTCCGAAAGGCCAGAAGATTCCGCTGGTTTCCCCGCCTCCCACCTCCCCCACCCCTTCCCTCCCGAGCCCGGGCAAAGGCGCAGAACCCGGAGTTATAAAAAGCTATCGCCGGGAGGAGCGAGGAGGAGGAGGAGGAGGAGGAGCGGGAGGAGGGGGAGGAGGCGAAAGGAGAGGGGAGGGGGCGGGAGGGGCGCATGGAGCAGGCGAATCCGGAGGACTCTGCGCCCCTCCTGCGCTAGGGTGGGGGGGGTGCACAGGGAGGTGTAGACCCCGCTGGCTTGGTTCCTTCGACCCTCACCTGGTCTCGGGAGCGACCTCAGGTCCTGGTGTTGTGAGGAGTGGGGTCGCCCCAGGACAGGGTTGCCTGGTGACCTCCGACAGGTGGGCATCTGGCAGCCTCCACAATCCCCACTCGACCCAAAATCTTTTAAGATGTAGGAAAAGCAATCCCAATGCCATCGTTATGCTCCCACCCCAAATCCTGACTATCTTGGGGTGGGAGGAGATGAGAACTCACTAAAAAAGAGAAAGTAAAGTTCTCCCTGCCTCCCCATCGCGGAGCCAGGTTGGGCATTCCAGCCCGAGACCCGCAGAGCAGGGAGTTTCAGCACTCGACGGGGCGGACAGCGCCCCGGGCGGCCGGATTGCGCCAGGGCGGGGGTGGGGCTTCCTGGGCGCCTCCTGGGGGCCTCTCCGGCCGGGAGGAACACCCTCCCTCCGTCCTGGGGTGGGGCTGACTTCAGCACTGGCGGGAGGGACAGCGGCCATCAGCCTCCCCCCGCACCCCCCTCCCCCGTCCGCTCTGAGCCGCTTAAGCCTCGGGAAGGTCAAGGCCGGCAGGGACCCTGGGGGAGGAACCTCGCAGCGCGGTTCGCTGACCCGCGTCCGCTTTCGCTTTCTGCCTCGCAGCCGTCGGGATGGAGGTGAGACGGCAGCGGTGACGCCCGCCCTCGAGCACCTCTGCACCGCCGCGGCCCGCAGCGCTCCCCGCCCCCCGCCCCCGCGGCAGCGGGCCTTGCCGTCGAGTGACAGCGGCCTGGGGGGGCAGGGGGGGCGGGGGCGGCCGGACCAGCGATGCCGGCGGGCATGACGAAGCATGGCTCGCGCTCCACCAGCTCGCTGCCGCCGGAGCCCATGGAGATCGTGCGCAGCAAGGCGTGCTCACGCAGGGTGCGCCTCAACGTCGGGGGCCTGGCGCACGAGGTGCTGTGGCGCACTCTGGACCGCCTGCCCCGCACGCGGCTGGGCAAGCTCCGGGACTGCAACACGCACGACTCTCTGCTCCAGGTGTGCGACGACTACAGCCTTGAGGACAACGAGTACTTCTTTGATCGCCACCCGGGCGCCTTTACCTCCATTCTCAATTTCTACCGCACGGGCCGGCTGCACATGATGGAGGAGATGTGCGCGCTGAGCTTCAGCCAGGAGCTGGACTACTGGGGCATCGATGAGATCTACCTGGAGTCCTGCTGTCAGGCCCGCTACCACCAGAAGAAGGAGCAGATGAACGAGGAGCTGAAGCGCGAGGCCGAGACACTGCGGGAGCGGGAGGGCGAGGAGTTCGACAACACGTGCTGCGCCGAGAAGAGGAAGAAACTCTGGGACCTTCTGGAGAAGCCCAACTCATCGGTGGCCGCCAAGGTGAGTCTGGGGTCTGCTCCCCTCACGGAGGCCTACGCTGCGGCTCCGGACTCCTCATGATGAAAAGGGACTCCGAGTGAGTTCTCCAAGGACCACCACTGTTGTAGCCATGTGTCATAAGACGCCAACCATAGATGATTCTGTGCTGTGCACCCCCACTTTGCTGTGGGGGAATGGTTTATAGGACTCTAAAATACTATGGCCGCGATGAGAGCAGAGGTGTGCTTTGCTGGGTAGAGTCTGGTGTCCCGCTCTCCAGGCCCAAAGTCCAGCCCGGAGTAGCTAACCCTGCAGTTGTGGTATCTAGCCCTGTGTCATGACCCCACTTTGCCACCAAGGAAGGGTATAAATGCAGCCTACAGGCACAATTGGTGGAGGCTGAGGTGCGCACGGGTGTTATAAGACATGACAAAAGATAGGAAAGCCTAGTGGCAAGGGCAGGCCTGCCCAAACCTTTGCTGAGGGACTCTGGGTGAGGGCCCGGCTGGCCCCTTATTTATGTCCTTGCAGTGCGGTGCGGTTTCAGTTGGCTGTTGGGGGAGGATGTGAATTTCCAAGTCAAAGTAGAAAATAAACCTAGAGAAGGAGGCAGGAATGGTGCGGTCACACAGGGTGTGTGGCCTTGGGGGCCGGGAGGGGCTTGGGGTGAGGACCGGAGCAGGTGTAATTCCTCTGGTCAGGCTGGCACCAGGGAGTGTCTGGAGGATGAAGGCTGCCTCACGTGGCCTGCATGTTGGGTGCCAGGAGTAAATGACAGCGCGTGTGTTCAGGCTGCATGGAGGTTGGGAAGAGGCCCAGAAAAAGAGGTGTGTGGGAATCCAGAGAGATCAAGTCTGGAAAGAGAGAGGAATGTCTCTGGGAGCAGAGACCAGGAGAGAGGACTAGAGGCAAATGACTGAGTCTGCCTGATCTGACAGCCACAGTTTAGGGCCTGGCTCTTGGAGGGGTCTCTGGGGTTATTTCCAGAGAACTGGCTTGCTCAAGAAGGCTGCAGTAGACAGGGGAGGGGCTGTCTACTGGGACGGTATGAAGACCCCACAGTCGTTTTCTCTCGCCTCTGGGCTCTGAGAACGTAGAGGCCCCTGGGCCTGGTCCTCCTCCTGGAAGACTCTGACCATAATCCGTCCCCAGTTTCCATGTCCAGAAAGCTACCCGCTAAGATGGGAGGTGCTCACCCTTAGCCGGCTTAGGATCAGCAGACTTATTTTGCTATTTCTAGGCCTGACACAGGTTCCCCCACTGCTCGGCCCATTGAGGCCCAGGCAGGCCCCTCCTTCCTCACCTGCCTGTCCTTAAGATACTAGATCCAGGGGCAGGAAGTGGGGATTTGCCCTCCCCAAGAAGAAACAGGCAAAGGATTGTGTTTGAGCTGGCATCTGGCTGCGGGGCACAACAGGCAGTGTGTGGGAATGAGCAGTCTCTCCTTCTCCACTTAATCGGCTCAGCCGGACAGTATCGTGACCTCGCTGTGATCCCGGGCTGGGCTGTTAGCTCACACTCTGGCAGTTTCTGCAGCCAGAGTTGAAACGGGAAGGCTCGCCGGCTGCCTGTATAGAAACGTGACAGCCACTGGCAAATACCTAACAAATGCGAAGCTTGCAGAGGTGAAGTAACTTGCCTAAGAAGTAGCCATGAAGTTTGGAGCAGCCTGTTTTCTGTGGTGACTGGGGTCACAGATGCCTCCCTAAGCTCCTTCTCTCCCTTTGCTTCCCACGGTCCCTTCCCCAGCAGCCCGAGGTGCAAGTCAGATTGCATTATTCATCCCTTTGAAATCCACGGAGGTTTCTGTCACGCGCAGCGTGAAATCCACATGCCACCATGCACCAGAGGTCTAGACTGGCCTCGGAGCTCTCTTTTGGCTCATCTTTCCTGTTCTCTTCTGGCTCATGCGGTCCCAGTCCCGCTGGCATCCTTACCGCTCCCAAGCAGACTGTGCTCTGTTCCACCCCAGGACCTTTGCACTTACTTTTCTGGCTGTTGACAACTGCTTTCCCCAGATCATTTCATGGGCCCCTTCTCTCCATGTTCCCATTTGCTACAGTCCCTACCCAACTGTTCCCCATACCCTGTTACCTCATGCAGTATCTTTCCTGCATGAGCTTTATACACTATTTGAAATCATATTTGGTCCACATGTTTCTGTTCTACACCCACAAGGATGTATTATACACACCACAGTGTTCCCAGCATGCATCATGGTGCCTGATTCAGAGGGCTCTGAATAACTCGGTGGAGGATGGAGGGGCTTGTGGGGTGTAGATGGATGTTTGGATGGATGGATGGATGGGGAGATAGATAGATGGGTGCATGGATTGGTAGATGGATGAGTAAGTGAATGAATGGATTGGTGGATGGATGGATTGGTGGATGGGTTGGTGGTGGCTGGCTGGATGGGTGTGTGTGTGGTTGGGTAGATGATGGCGGATGTGGGTGAATGGATTTGTGGATTGATGGGTAAATAGATTGATGAATGGATGCATGGATGGGTCGATTGGTGGATGGACAGGTGGATGGGTGGATGGATGGATGGATGGATGGATGGATGGGTGGATGGGTGGATGGATGGATGGGTGGATGAGTGGATGGATGGGTGGATGGATGGATGGATGGATGTATGGGTGGATGGGTGGATGGATGGATGGGTGGATGGATGGGTGGATGGGTGGATGGATGGGTGGAGGGGTGGATGGGTGGATGGATGGGTGGATGGGTGGATGGATGGGTGGATGGATGGATGGATGGATGGTTGGATATATCAAGCAAGCAATCAGGCACTGACTATCTCAGGGTCCTGTTGCCAGTCAGCACTTCTTTCTCACAGCAGTCTGTGGCTCAACTTCCCAAATCTCTCCTCTCTCTGTCACCTGCACCTGGCCCACCCTATCTGACAAGCTCCAGAGCTAAGCCTGTCAGCACAATGAGGCTAGAGGCGGGGGTGGTGGGGGAGGGGGCGGTGGTCCTCAGAGAACACACAGGCTGAGGGCCAAATGTGGGATCATTTCAGGGTGCCTGTGAGGCACAGACACGGCTGCCTCTCGCATGTTATAGAGAAAGGACCCACCAGGGCTGCAGGATCAGCCAACTCCTCACTACTCTCTGGCCTGAGGTCCTTCTTCACCTCTCTCTTTCCCCTGCCCATCTGTAAAATGAAGATTGAAGGCCACTTGGCAGTTAAGTTGTGTTTGTGGCAGCTTAGCGCTCAGGGTGCTGTTGGTATCCGTGCTGAGTTGCTGTGTCCTTTCTCTGGAACAGGAGGGCAGCAATCACTTTCCTCCTGAGAGCATCCTGGGGAGACTGAGCTGATGTGGTGAATAATTGATGGGCTGTTCTGCCAAGTGAGGGACAAACCAACACTGGGGCCCTGGATGCTCCCTCAGGGAGTGGAGAGCAAAACCCATTAGGCTGTTTGGAGGTGGGGTCAGCTCTGTCAGAGAGTTGGCACTGGCATGGCCTCCTCTGTGGTTCTGCTCTCTGGGAGCACTCTCAGGCTCCTCTCGGTTCGTGTGAGGAGAGCCAACATGTGAGGCCAGAGTCTGCAGATTAAAGCTCCAAGACAGCTTCCAAACTGCCGGAGTGTTTATTGTGCTGGGCACAGATCAGTGGTCTCTGTAGCTGGTGTGATCCAGAAATTCCTTCCGCAGCCTTCCTGGGCAGTGGGGAGCCCATTAGAGCTTCTTTGGGTTGTAAGTGACAAAGCAGAAAACTCAAAGTAGCTTCAGTGAGGAGGAAGCTGTGTCGCGGCACATCGCCTGCCATTCCAGGGTAGCAGGAGTATGGGTTGAGTTGATGGTTCAGGGATCCCACCAGGATTCCAGTGTGTGTGTGTGTGTGTGTGTGTGTGTGTGTGTGTGTGTGTGTATTGTTGCTTTGTAAGAGCATGTATGGAGGTCAATTTGGGGGACTCAGTTCTCTTCCACTGTGTGAGTCAGGCTTGGTGGAAAGACTCCTTACCTGTTGAGCCATCTTGCTGGTCCTACGTGTTGTTGTTCTGAACTACATGTATTTTGTTACGTTTATTTATTATTTGTTTACTTCACGAGTGTCTGTGTGCGTGTGCAGTAACACTGTTGTGGAAGTCAGAGGACAACCTGTGAGAGTTGGTTCCCTCCTTTAACGCGTGGGTCCTGGGGATTAGACTCAGACCATGAACTCGGCAAGTGCAGCCCTCCCTTGTGCCGTCTCTCCAGCCCAGGGCTCAATGTTTTTTGCATCTCTCTGCTTCTCTAGACCCTGAACATGACTTGTTACTTATGCTTGATACTGTGTGTCAGAAGGTAACCGTCAGGTTCCAGCACGCAAGTAGACACAAAAATGTCTACCTCTCCAAGGAAAGGTATTTCCTCCTGTGCTCCAAAATCTGCTCCATTTTGCTTTCCTTTAAGGACAGCCTCTCCCAGGAGTGCCCTAGTAGATGTTTTGATGGTCCTTGGCCATTGATCACCTACTCACGCTTTAGTGGTAAGGGAATCTGGGAAAGCAAGTGGCTGGTGTTTTCAGATGGTTGAGGGCATGCGTTTGATAAGGGAAAACCAGACCCTTATCAGTAAAGGAAGCAGGCTCCGTGGAGTGACATGCCTTCACCTAAGCCTAGGCTAAAGGGATCAGTAACCGTGTGTTCAAAGAGTGGAAATGGTGGAGTCAAGTGTCTTCATTACTGTTCTACTGCTGTGACAAAACACCATGACCAAGGCTAATTTTAAAAGAAAGCATTTAATTTGGGGCTTGCTTACACTTTCAGAGGGTTAGTCTGTGACCATCATAACAGAGAGCATGACAGCAGGCAGGCAGGCACGGCGCTGGAGCAATAGCTGAGATCTACAGGGAAGACTGGGCTGGGCCTGGACCTTTGTGACCTCTGAGCCCTCCCTCAGTGACACACCTCCTCCAAGAAGGTCACTCCTCCCAATCCTTCCCAAACAGTTCCTCCAACCGAGGACCAAGCCTTCGGGAGCCATTCTCATTCAAACTACATCAAGGTTTAGACCCAGATTCTTCTCAGG